CCGGCCGCGTGGGGGGTTCATTCCTCCCCTTCCTCTCTCGCCAGGAATGTGTCTCCCTTCCAAGCCTCGGGGGTGGATGGGCAGGGCGGGGCACCCGGAAACCATCCGTCCAGGGAGCTGCAGGGCGTTTTGCTGGGAGGCTGCTCCCCAGCCCACCAGCTCTCCAAAGCCGCTCGCCCGCGGTTCCAGGGGTCTGGCTCTGCCCGCAGGGAAAGGCTGCGAGCCACGCACAAAGATCCCGCCCCGAGCGGGTAGGTATTTACAGCGGTGAGTCACCGTTGATCTTTTGCAAGGCGCTGATTGAGTAACAGGAAATGTCACAGGGAGATGGGGGGGGGGGCTTTCTCCCACACCCCTTTCATTTGCTCTGCAGCCACCCAGAGACAAGGGGGGGCTGGGGGCTGAGGGAAATAGTGGAGAATCTCTTCTGACTTCGGGTTTGCAAATTTCTGGGCCCCCCCACCCTCATGGGGGCGGGGCCGGGCAGCGGGAGGCGTGGCCAGAGACGCATTAAGAACCTTGTCAATTTCAGTTGTTCAGACTTGCTTAGGACTTTCCAAAACTTGTTGGTGTTTCTCTCCCCCCACCCCCAACCTCCATTCGGCTCCCCTTGGGGGTATTTTTTTTTTCTCAAGATCCCTTGACATTTAAAACAAAATTGGGGTGTGGGAAAAACACACCCGGGAAAACATTTAAGGCACATTCCCCACTGGGAACATCTGCCTGGGGTGGAGGAGGAAACATTTCTGCCCCTCCAGGTGGAGAACAGCCTTTAAACTCCCCCCCCCCCCGCAAAAAAAGTTTCAAAATATGATCACTTTTTTGTTCCTATGGCTTTGTCTTCCTCTAGTGGAACCCTTGGCATGTAAGTACCGCCCGCACTTCGGTCTCTCCCGGGGCTTTTCTCTGTGAGGTGAGCAGCCGATGCGCAGAGGTTTTCCAAGAGTCCCTCTCTGACCGTATCGGATGGGGCAAAGGATCAATACCCGGCTGGGAAGAGGCAAAGGCGCGGGAGCGCGCACTAGAGGGGTGGGAGTGGGGGGCTGATGAGGGAAATGAAACAACCCGGCAAGATGTGGCAGGAAAGGGGACTTGGAAGAAAAATCACCTTTGGAGTTGCAAGGTGGTTGAGTCAAAGGGGGTCGCCCGGCCACGGCGGAGGTGGCTTGATGTGGTCAGAGACCAGGCCAAAGCTCGAGGGAGGATAGTTTTAGATGCGAAGGGGGATTGGGAGAGGGTGCGCCCAGCCGGGCCACGCTAGGTTCCAGCGCAAACGGGCCAGGTCCTTTCCAAGAGGCGGGGTGGGACGCGCGGGGGGAGATTTTGCTCCGAGCAAGAACTGAGGCGCTCGGAGTTTTGTAATTCCCAGAGAAAGTCTCCGGGGCTTCCCCTGCGCACCTGGGAATAGTTTTAGATGCGAAGGGGGATTGGGAGAGGGTGCGCCCAGCCGGGCCACGCTAGGTTCCAGCGCAAACGGGCCAGGTCCTTTCCAAGAGGCGGGGTGGGACGCGCGGGGGGAGATTTTGCTCCGAGCAAGAACTGAGGCGCTCGGAGTTTTGTAATTCCCAGAGAAAGTCTCCGGGGCTTCCCCTGCGCACCTGGGACGCTCAAAGCGGAGCGAAAGGCGCCCCTTTCCCGCCCTGTACCCGGCCCCCTCGCTGTGGGCCTTTCCCCCTTGGGGTCCCCCGCAAACCTGGACCCTGCCCTCCTTATTGGTTTCACTTCCAGTCCATTCATTTTCTCGGTGGATCTCCGAGGCGCGCCGCGTGCGG